AAAAAAAAATTATATTTTTATCGACTTAATTTATAAATATTTGTTTTCATTTATTTGAAGACACTTCGTCGATCAAGGCATATGAGTTCAAAAAAAAAGTTTAAAAAATGTGAATACTAAAGGTGAAAAAGGTCTCGTGTCTTATTTCTATTTGAGACAATTACAAAAATGCCACTTTTTGAGTGCACATTTGCAAGAATGCCACTTAGGGGTGTCCATTTACAAAAATGCCACTAATTATACATTTAGAAAACCTATATCTTAAAATTATAAACCATAAAAATATTTTTGACACCTAAAACCTCATAAACACTCAAAACTAAACCCTAATAGAACATAATAAACCCAAATATAAATATTATAAAGAAAAAATAATTTTGAAAAAGTGGCATTTTTGTAAAAATTTTAAAAGTGTGACATTTTTGTAAAGTGGCACTTGAAAAATGGTATTTTTTAAAATTTCTCTATTTCTATTTGCTATGGATATGTTATATGATTGTCTAGATTGTGTAATATTTTTGATAATTAAGATATATGAAATTATACAAATTTAGATAAATAAGAAGAAAAACAATGTTTCTTTAAGTTTTAGTTAATAAATATATAAATGGTACAAAATTTAGAAAAAAAAAAATAATTACAGAAAAACATATCACTCTTTCTTTGATTTTTAATTAATTCTATACTTTTGGTGGTGTATAAATAAAAAATTTTTCTCATTAATAATGATATGTTAATTTATATATTTTCAGTTTCTTGTTTTATCTCGATGAACGTCTTTGAAATCACACAAATAATCTATAATTATTTTGAAATGATTACCTTTCACATATGCAAAATAATAAAATATTAGTTATTGGTGTGAAATGTTTAACAATAAAAATGTTTAGATATATAAATTATTTAGGGATCGGATTTGTCTTTGATGGCAATAAATAAAATTATAGACAAAGGGACATATAACATAGTACTTTTTTTTTTGTTCAAACTTAATCTCCATTAATTAAACTTGAAGATCCTTACAAAGGATTAGAGTTCTTGCATCTCTTTTTGTATTACAAACAGCCAACTCGGTGGCTAAACAAGAGTTAAAAGTACTTAGATAGATAAACCACATAACTTTAATTGCCTTGCTTCATGAAGGATCCCATAGAGATCAATATGATTGGTGGACGAGATTTGCAGCTTCATGAGCGTCATGAGCGACTCGAACTTGACATAGAACTCGAATCATTCGGTTGAGATCGTTAAAGACTTCATAGAAACGGATTGTGATGGTAAATGCCTCTTCATGTCGGAGGTGAATGGTGAAAACATTGTGTTATATAATGAATTTATTGGTTAAAAACTTGTTTGATGTTATTTTAGGATATGATTT